GATGGGGGACTTATGTCTAAAATGTATACAATACTCGAGCGTCACAATAAGATAAAGGTAAACAACTCAATTGCAAAATAGGCACAGGATATGAACAGATACTTCACCAAAGAAGACATTCAGGTGGCAAATAAACATAGGAAGAAAGGTTCAAACTTCCTAGCTCTGAGAGAGATGAAAACCAAAACAACTATGAGATATCATCTCACCCCAGTAACAACAGTAAAATTTAACAGCGCAGCAAACAACAAATGCTGTTGAGGTTGGGGAGAAACTGGATACACTGTTGGTGGGAGTGTAAAATGGTGCAACCACTCTGGAAGGCAGTATGGCCCTTTCTCAAAAAGTTGGAAATAGAAATACCATTTGACCCATCAATTCCACTACTGGGAATATACCCTAAAGAAACCAGCCACCCAAGCCAATATGTGCACACCCATATTTACTGCTGCTTTGTTCACTATAGCAAAGATCTGGAAACAACCCAAGTGCTCATCAACAAATGAATGGATAGAGAAGCTATGGTATAGTCACACAATGGTATATTATGCAGTACAGAAAAACAGGGAACTCATGAAATATTATACAAAATGTGTGGTCCTGGAGGACATTACACTGAGTGAAATATCTCAGTCACAGAAGAACAAATACTGCATAATGCCACTGTTATATAACAGGATTGACATGGGGGTTGGGGGTGAAACTAAGAAAAAAGGGGATAAATAATGTACATGGCAATGAAATAGATGAGAGAGAGAACTGTATAAAAGGAATATATGATTAGGTATTATTGGCATGAGATAGGTCCCAAAGAAGAGCTGCATAGTAAAGTGGATGGGGTGGGGTGGGGGGACTGTGTAACAATTAAAGAATTTTTTTCCAAAGAGAAAAGCGAACGGGGGGACAGGGAGGGCAGGGAGGAAAATGTGCAACAATAAATGAATGGAAATTCAGGTTCTTTATAAACTTCCATTAAAATCTCAATTAAGAAAATCTTAGAATACAATTCTCTAATTATAGTGGAATGAAATTAAATCAAATTAATAATAATTATTATAAAGCATCTAAATATTTAGAAATAATCATTGTTTAAAAGTAACTTGAGTAAAAAAAAAGTAACTTGAGTCAAAGAAATCAGGAAAAAATATATTTGTGGTGTGCAATATAATAAAAATAGAATAAAACAAAATTCGTAGGATATAAACAAAGATGGGTTTGTAGAGACATTTATAACCTTCAGTGCATATATTACAAAAGAAATAAAGCTGAAAATGGTATTTTACTGCTCTTAGGACAAAATGAAAACCTCCAATACTGTGACAAACTCCTACCTGGTCTGCCAACGTACGTCTTAGAGCTTCAGTATTGTTGGTCTCCTAGCATTTATTACTCTGCAGCCATACTGGTGCTTTTTTTTTTTTTTTAAATTCCTGGAATATGCTGAATTACTTCCTGCCTCAGGACTGTGAACATGCTGAGCCTTTGGTTTGAAATGCTTTTTCCTTCCTCTGGCCAACTTCAACTCTTCCTGCCGTTTCCTTAGAAAAGCTCCCCACAGACCCACCCCCTACCCCAACCTAGGTCTGTTTTCTCTGACATATCCCTTAGAATTCTAACTCTCCTTCATGGTATTCATTACTGCAATTAAAGAATTGGGTAATTTCTCCTTGTTCATTTAATTTTTAAATAGTTAGTCATTCTATAAATACTATAAACTTCTTGGTGCTGGGACTAAAGCATAATACACAATCGAGCTCCCAGTGCTGAGCATGGTGCCTAGGAAATTGTAGAAACTCAGTATCTGTGTGTTGTAGGAGCGAAAGGCTACATGAACTGGGGTTTACTATGTTACCATTCAAACACACACATAACTCCAAACAAAACACCCTCTTTGCTGTCAGGTCAGAATCCAATCATAGCTGAGCCTCCAATGGGTTTTCAGAACCTGTGAATCACCCATCTTTCTCCCAAAGAGTCGAACTGCCAGAGAGCTTTCACTTGTGGATTAGCTGCAAAATGTCCTAAGGAATGGCACCAGAGTGCCCTAAGGAACCACTAGGTTTACTCAGCAGTTGTTAAAGACCTCTTTTGCTTGGGGAAAAAACCTCCCCACTATTACTGCTGACAGCTGTTGACTTTACTGCTGTGACATTTACAATGTAACTGACAGGATTTGCTAATCCAAGAAATCTCCTAATCAAGAATCTTTACCCCAAACAACATTTAAGCAAAATAATTTTCAACTCCACTCAGCTTCCTGCTTAATTCACTTGGAGAGAGACATGAAGTGTTGTGTAAACTCAATTAATTGATTAAACTTGTTCTATCCATCGCCAAGCTATGTGCTGTAAAAGTGGTTCAAATCACAGTCATTACTGTTGACATTCATGCTCATCCCAACAATCGTCAGTCTCCTTGGTCTATTTTCTATGGAGAAGTTCATTTAACCATTACTTAAAATATGAAAAGAGGTCACTGTTTGGAGATGAGGAAGCTGAGGCTGAGGGAAGTGAAGTGACTTATTTAGAGCTGTGTACTACTAGGAAATGGCAGGGAGGGGTTGAAAAGGCTCATCCGACTGCAGAGCTCTGGGAGGCAGTCCATCCTATCACCAGTCTCTGAGAACAGAGAATAACCTAAGCCGTCACAGGTAAATGCTGTGCAGTTATAAACTGAGTTCCTGGAATGGGCCCAGATGCCACTGGGGACTCTCAGGCAAGACTTCAACAAGTCGCTCAGTTTTGGGGCTGTAAATCACATTGAGAGGAGATTGACCATTTTTGTCTTGAGCGGCTGCTGGTGGATTCGAACTGCCAGAAGTGCAGTCTTTGGATTAGCAGTGCAATTCCCTTTGGACTAGGCCACCAGAGCTCTCTTCAGTATGTGGAACACTGGGCAGGTGGAAGGTGCATAGGCTGTTCTTGAAAGTGATCAGAACAAAGCAGTGAAGGGAGAAGAGGACCAGGAACATCCCTTTCTTGACTCCCTTAGGACACTGACTACCAGTTCCTCTCCTAGCTAGGAAAATAAAAAAGAAGGAAGGAAAGGAAGGGGAACAAAGGGAGGAAGGAAAGGAGGGAGGAAGGAAAGGAGGGAGGAAGGAAGGGAGGGAGGGAGGGAGGGAGGAAGGGAGGAAGGCAGGAAGGCAGGAAGGCAGGAAGGCAGGAAGGCAGGCAGGCAGGCAGGCAGGCAGGAAGGAAGGAAGGAAGGAAAAAAAAAATAAGGCTGTTTTCCCCCCTGTGAAAGTGTGTAAGCCAGCTACTTCACGCCTCATGCCTTAATATCTCCCTTTTAGATAGTCAGTGTCTGATTTGCTCATCCCTGTCCAGTCAGTACTCTGAGGAAACAAGCATGTCCCTTTTGCTGAAGAATCCTCCACTAAACTTGGAAACTTTGAGCGTTTGCATCCATAAGCAAAGTCCAGTTCAGAGCAAGCTGTCAGGTTATAGCAACTGACTCTAGCTCTGAACATGCATCTCTTCATCTGGTTGGGTTCTGGTCAACACGTGTCCGGCAATCTGTGGCTAGGTTCAAATGGACATGAGCTGCAAGCTCAGGAGTCCACACTTCTCCCTGAATTCTAGACCTGTTGGTCTCCTCACTCAGCCCCAGTTCCCATATGGAGCCCAGTCAACAAGCCAGGGGTCATCAAGACAACAACCCTTCTCTGCTCATGTGCACATCTGTGCATGCTAAGTGGGCACAGAGACATAATGGAAATACCTCTGTTGCTCTGGCCTCAACTACACTTCAATGTACCAAGGAACCGACAGAGTTGAGTGCTATTTTGGTCAAGTACAGATGACCAATGGTTGCCACTGACTGCGATAAAAGAACTGAGTAACAGATGGCTCACTGTCTTAGCACAGAAATCTGAAATTATGCAAGTTTCAAGCCACCTGTGGACATTTCACATATATACAAAGGCAAGTTTATAATGCTCTTACTTTATTGTGCTCTCCAGTTTTGAAGCAGCTTCATGGAATTGCTCTGAAGACATTTTATACATCTCAGCATTCTAGAAAGAGAAAAACAGAACCAGTTACCAAAGATTGATATTTCCCTCTGGCTCCTTCATGGGATGCAAGCACAGGAGAAACCAGGAGTTGCTAATTTCTTGACCAACATCAATGCAGACTGATGATTAATCCATAGCTTGAGTGCCAGTCCATTGCCTGCTGCTAGAGGATCCTAGATTAGCACAGGCTAGAAGACCATCATGAGGGAGTCTTGTTCAGCACCAACCAAATCATGACCCATGAGCAAGTCCAGCCTGTCATTTGTTTTTGTAAGTAAAGTTTTACTGAAACACAGTTTAAATATTGCCTAGATCTGCTTTTTGTTATAAAAGCAGAATTAGGTAGTTGTAACAGAGATTCTCTGACCTGCAAAGCCCCAAATAGTTTCTTTTAAAAAATGTCTGCTGGCCCCCAAATTGGTCCAGTGTCTATTTTCTAGATGACTCTGACACTCAGAGATGTGAAGTGACCTGCCCAAAGTCACAGAGCAAGTGGCAGCATCTATGCTAAAATCAGGTGCCCGTATTCCCAGGCTGGCACATGCTCTGCTGTTACCATGACCACCTGCCATCCACACAGCAGTAATTAGTCCAGAGTGCTGCAGGAGTTCTAAAGCACTTTTATTCTAAGATTACAGATTTCATGTGTTCACTAAGGGCAGATCGGTGTAGGAGGAGCTCAGGATTGAGAAGACAGTTCCTCCAACCACAGTGACTGGTAGGATAAAGTAGAACTCTGCAAAGGTTCCAAGGCTGAATATCTTTATGGAAGCTAACTGTTCCATCTTTCTCCCATGGAGCAGCTGGTTGAGTTTGAGCCACTCACCTATTGGTTAGAAGCAAAATGCCCTAAGCACAGTGCCATTAAATCCTGGCTCCTCTTCTGTGTGGCTCTGGGTAAGTTACTTAACCTCTTTGTATCTCAGAGGTTAAGTGTCCAAGCTCACACAGGCTCAGAACTCAGCTCTCGCCATTCCATGTCATGAACCCAACTTCTTTACTGGTTTTCAGATGAAATCAACATAAATTCCACCTGCTGAGTCTGTCTCCTATTAGGTAAGAGTGCTAGGAAATCTTATAAATTGATCAACCTTTGACAAGTGGAAAAAAATATGGCTTTAAAGCAGATTTCTTTTTGTGTGTGTGTGAGGCTGTTCTAAGACTCTGACAACCCTCTTTGGTGATACAGACACACAGGGTGAGGCCAAGATGCTGGGTTGAGAACAAGGCAGGCAGTGAGAACCTCACCAGTGGTCGAGATACAAACATCAGCTGATGCTACCTGGTCTGCCTCCTATTTGTCAGACTAATGGCTGCCCCTTCACAGACTCTCAGGAAGCAAGTATGCTCTGATTTACAGAGAGGCAAACTGCTGCTTTAGGCTCCAAAGGCCCTCTCCTGGCATGATTCACTCAATTACTGAAACAAGCTCACACAGCGGAGGGGGGGGGGGACACTTGCCCAGGTCACGTGGATTTCTCTGTCGTGGGGTTGGGGCTCCACCTGCAGGCACACTGGGCTCCAAGCCTGGGCTCTCTCCATCCACTATGGCAGAGAAAGCCTGGCCTACAGGGAAATGTGTCAGGATTAAGGCAGCCCTCAGGGAGTTCTGGTAGCCTAGTGATAAGAAACTGAGCTGCAATTCCAAAGGCACTGGGTTTGAATCCACTAGCTTCTCTGTGGATGAAGGATGGGCAGTCTCCTCATGTGTGGTTTACTGGCTCTGAAAACCCACTGGAGGGTCAGCTATGGGTCAATTCCAATTTGATGGCACATAACAACAACAACAGATGGAAGCTAAGATCTGGCCTATAGCATGAGTCACTGTATGCTCCATGAACAAAAAGGTAACCGAGGACTAAGCGTGGCCAATAATATCCCCCAAGGACCACAGGGAGTTTAAAGCTGTGCCACCCTTTCCCCTCATCCCCATAATGTTCCCACTGACTCCCAGATTAAAGAAGTGTCTGCTAGGACATAGCTGTGGGTGTGGGTGCAGCTGAGGTGCTACACAAGGAGGACCAGCAGCAATAAGAACTGCTCTGAGCTGTCCTCAGGGAGCCAGAAAGCCACTTCTGGCCAGTGTCTCCCAGCTACTCTGTAACTCTGAGGCGGACACTGCCCATTAGCTATCCCCTCAATTCTAAATGGGAAGATAGAGATATGTATCTTAAGGGGTTATAGGAAATGGTTATCTACAAGATGCTACCTCTTCAGCATACCCTCAGCCTCTGAATCAGTATGTCCCTCCCCAACCCCAGGGTTCTTTGGGGTGCCCTGGCAATCACAGAAATACGAAGACTGCAAGTTTCTGGCATGTTTTCTCCAGAACACTCATGTTTTAATGAAGACATTATTGTTCTGCCTCAACCCGTCCCATGCTCTACCAACACAGACAGATACACAGGCCCTAATTTCAAGGGTGCCACACAGAGTGAAAATTAGGACTTCCCTTCCTGCCCAGAAAAATCTCAACTCTGGAACTCCTTTGGTGGATGATCATTTAGGCTTAATTTGAACCTCCTGTTAGACTAAAGTTTTAATTTTTACTTTGTAATGGATTTCACCTGATAGTATGCATAGGAATCAGATCGATTACATCTGCGGAAAAAACCGCTGGAGAAGCTCAACATCAGCTGTGAAAACTAGGCCAGGAGCTGATTGTGGAACAGACCACCAACTACTCATATGCAAGTTCAAGCTGAAGCTGAGGAAAATTAAACCGAATCCACAGGAGCCAAAATATGACTTTGAGTTCATCCTACCTGAATTTCAGAATCATCTCAGGAACAGGATTGAGGCCTTGAACACTAATGAGAGAAGACCAGATAAGTTGTGGGAGGATGTCAAATGTATCATCTAGGAAGAGTGCAGGCAGTCATTACAAAGACAGAAGAGGAAGAAAAGACCAAAATGGATGTCAGAAGAAACTCTGGAAGATTGCACTGGAGCGTAGAGAAGCCAAAGCACAAGGAAGAATTCAAGACACTAAAGAGCTGAACAGAAGATTCCAAAAGGCAGTGCGGAATGGCAAAGCAAAATATTACAATGAAATGTGCGAGGAGCTAGAGTCGGAAAATCAAAAGGGCCGAACTCGTTCAGCATTTCTTAAGCTCAAGGAACTGAAGAACAAATTCAAACCTAGAGTTGCTATAATCAAGGATGTATGCTTTAAGCAGAATATTAAATGATCCAGGAAGTATTAAAAGAAGATGGAAGGAATATACTGAGTCATTGTATAGAAAGGAATTGGCAGACACAGCAGAATTTAATGAAATAACATTTGAGCAAGAACCTATGGTGATGAAGGAAGAAGTTCAAGCGGCTTTGAAGGAAATAGCAATAGATAAGGCCCCAGCAATAGATGGTATACCAATTGATGTATTTCAGCTAACAGATGCTGCCCTGGGATGTGCTCACCAAGATGTGCCAAGAAATCTGGAGAACAACCACTTGGCCAACTGACTGGAAGAGATCTTTATTTGGCGAGCTCTGGTGGCTTAGGGGCAAGAAGCTGCACTGCAATCCCAGAGGCGCGCAGTTCAAATCCACCAGATGTTCTGCTGGAGAAGGAGGAACAATCTCCTCCTGTACCAGTCAGATCCGTTTTGACAGTACACACACGTAAATAATAAAAATAAAATTAAAAAAAGAGATCTACATTTGTCCAAAGAAGGGTGACCCAACAGAGTGTGGAAACTACAGAACAGTATCATTGATTTCACATGCAAATGAGATTCTACTGAAGATTATCCAAATACAACTGGAACAGCACATCAGCAGAGAATTGCCAGAAGTCCAGGCTGGGTTTAGAAGGGGTCGTGGTACTAGGGATATTGTAGCTGATGTTAGATGGATCTTAGCTGAAAGCAGGGAATACCAGAAGAATGTCTATCCGTGTTTCATTGATTATGCAAAGGCATTTGACTGTGTGGATCATAACTAACTGTGGCTGACTCTGAGAAGAATGGGAATCCCAGAACATTTAATCGTGCTAATGTGAAACCTATACTTGGACCAAGAGGCAGTCATCAGAATAGAGCAGGGTAACACTGCATGTTTCAAAATTGGGAAGGGTGTATGCCAGGGATGTGTCCTATCTCCATACCTTTTCAACCTGTATGCAGAGCAGATTATCTGAGAGGTAGGGCTCTATGAGGAGAAGTGTGGCGTCAGGATTGGTGGAAGATCTATTAACAATCTGTGTTATGCAGAGGACACAACCCTGCTTGCTGAAACTGAGGATGATCTCATGCACTTGCTGCAGAGGGTCAAGGACTGCAACCTTCAGTATGGACTGAAGCTCAATGTCAAGAAGACAAAGATTCTCACCACTGGACCAATTGGTAGCATCAGGATGGATGACAAAGAGATTGAGATTGTTCACAGCTTCAGTTTGCTCGGCTCCATGGTCAACACTCTTGGCACCAGCACAGCCAGGAAATCCAAAAATGTATTGCGATGGGAAAGTCTGTTGTTAGGGACCTCTCTAAAGCACTCAAGAGCAACGGTATCTCTCTGGAGACTAAGGTGCGCCTGATACAGGTCATGGTCTCTGCAATCACTTGTTATGCATCAGAGAGTTGGACAATGACTAGGGAAGATAGAAGGAGAACTGATGCCTTTGAGCTGTGGTGCTGGAGAAGAGTATTGAATGTACCATGGACTGCCAAGAAAACAAACAGATTCATCCTAGAGAGGGTCAAACCAGGCTACTCCTTGGAGGCAAGGATTCTGGGGCTTCATCTGACATACTTTGGACATGTTGTAAGGAGGGACAGATTCTTGGAGAGGGACATCATGCTTGGGAGGGTGGAGGGACAGCGCAGGAGGGGAAGACCCTCTATGAGGTGGACTGATTCAGTGACTGGGGTAATCGGGATGGGTGTGTCAGAGGCAGTGCGACTGGCACAGGATAGAGCAAGGTTTAGGGCTGTTGTACATAGGGTTGCTATGAGTTGCAAAGGACTCGATGGCACATAACAACAACAACAGGGGAA